TTAAAAACGTAACGAACTTACTACTACGGTACGTACACCAACCAACTAAGGTAACGTACGGTAGTTAGTTGTAGGCGTCGTCACTACTCCTAACCCACTACTCTCTCTCTCTCTCTCTCTCTCTCTCTCTCTCTCTCTCTCTCTCCCTCCACTTCAATTGAAGGATTAGTGGATCGGAAGCCCCTTAACCATCAAAGCCATTTACTCAAATCTCTCTCTTTGCACAACCAAACGCGCGAATCTCTCTCACGCACAACCTCAAGGATTAAGGGGTTGGCCAATGACGACGTGTACGTAGATTAGAAATATTGAATTTTGGAGATGAACATATTCAGGTACGTAACCTCCAGAACCACGGGACCACCTCTAAATAAAAACAATTTCAATCACACGTGGGTAAAATCTAAGCGTTAAAAACCTAGTTTTTGTTTTTTTGTCGTCAAAAATAATCATCTAGCGAATGATACTTAGGTGGATCCTAAAATTTAAATTCTCAAGCAGCTCTTGTGTGGGATTGAATCAATGTATAGTATACTCCCACAGGAGCATACTATACATAGTAAGCTAGTTCCTCTCTCTCCAAGAACTAAGCTACTCTCTCTACACGTGCTAAACTAGTCTCTTCAGTTATATGCTCCCTCTGTAACCTACAAAGAAGCAGTCTCTCTCTTAGTTATATGCTCTCTCTGCGTCAGTAAACAAGAAGTCCACCCTTCAGAAATCACTTCAATCTCTTTAATACTTCCAAGCTATGGTCGTACGGTGCTAGAAATTTGTTCATGAGTTTGGAAGCCATGAATGTAATAATGGTGCCTCTCAATTGATACTCCCATCGGTCCAAAGCAGCAGCAGCAAAAAACACGACCTCTTTCTGAGGCCTTGGCTTTCAGTAATGGCAAGCTTCACACATATTGCTTCTCTTCCAGGACTGACCTCTAAATAGTCCATCACTTTACAACCCTTTATCTCATCGGGTGAGGTTTGTGTAAGGTTGGCGCCTTAAACAATCACAGTTAGACGCACCCTGCATTGACGCCAAAGGATACAGTCGAACGAAATCCCTTGATGGTCAAATTTATTTTCATATCTGATTATAAAATTTAAAACTAAAAAATAGCGTATGTCGGGCAGATCTACAAACTCTTGAAAATTTTGAAAATATACAGTCCAGATAAGGCATGAAATCATTCTTTTTTTTCACATCCATACATCTCAAAGTTGAGATGATCCATTGGAGGGTTTTGCCCTGCCAAAACAACCTTTTCACTGAATTTTTCAATGTGCCTTATTTCTACCGTATAAATTGAAACCTTGTAAACTTTTTTCTTATTTAATAATATTCTAAATATAAACCCAAATACACATAAGCCTCTCAATTCCAGTGGAACCTGTTATTTGAATTCATGGGGATGTAAAGAAAGCTATTTTCCATGAAGAACATAAACAAATTAACAAAATCGAAGAAGAGCATTAGGGGACCTTTTTTTCTATTTTTTTTTTTGTGATAATACATTTGGAAACCTTAAAGGCAGCAAAAACAATCCAATTGGGTGTATCAACAAAATCAATATTACATGCAATTGCATAAAAAGCTGATTAAATAACTCAATCACAGAACTAGGAATGAGCAGTTTATCTAATCAAGGCCGAGTGCACTCGGACTTGACCGATTTACTTAGCCCTGCCCTATGGGCAAGGTGAATTGTGTTGTATACCGATTTTTTTTTGTTATATAGAATAATGTATCATTTTCAATTCAAACACACCCAAAGGGCAATGCCGGGTAGTGGGCACGTTCATTTTGCGCTATATCGGGGGTTTGAATCTCACCAAGGCCCTGCCTTTTTCTTTTCTTTTTTTTTAAATAAATGGGAGTTAAAAACAAAATGCCAAATGACCCAAGACCCTCACAAAGAGGCATTCTAAGAGCGGAGATGCAAACCAACACGCCATTTGGCGTTGGCTGCAAGAAAAGTGAAGGCTATATTCTATCTATTACTATTTTTTACTTCTCTTCTTTTTTTTTTGAAACTAGGGTTGGACTGCAAGTACCTCAGACTCACCTGAGTAACTTGGCTCTTACAAGGGCCGAGTACCTTGGCCGACTCGATTTTCAAAACACTGGGAATGGGAAAGAACTCCAAAAGGATCGTATTGCTCCTTACAGTCCATTTCCTGGAGCAACATACCGTATCATGAAAGAGTTATCCTGGATAGATGTGATGGCTGCAGGTTTAGCAACTCTGATCGGCTGTATTTTATACGTTCATCTGTCCAACAAGAATATCAAATTTCACAACCACGCAAAAACCACCAAAATTGGAAAACATAAGACCATAGCAAGATTAGATCTCTACAAAAGGAAGTGACCAAGATCCAATAAGGCATAGAAATTCCAAACCTACAAACTTTTTCCTGGTATTGAGCATGGATGAGGGCGTTTTCCTCCTGATGTTCCTTGGTCTACATGTTCCTGATGTTCCATGCCATGGCAACAAACAATCAGAAGAGGAATTTGAATCTGTAGAGGACATCTTAACAAACTCATGCTTTACGTGAATCCAAGGGTAGCTCCTACAAAATTGTGAAACTCCTTCATTTGTCAGAAGCCAACATCCTCTCAGATCAAGGGTCTCAAGCATGCCTGGTGGCTTGAAAGAACAAAGACCCGCACTGGTCAAAACCGCACCTCGAATCCCAAGAAACTTCAATTTTGGGATGGAGGACATTGGGTGGAGAGTGATGTCAGAGAGGAAATCATTCTTAAGGGACAAATGGATCAGTTCACTCAACCGAGATAGTGGATGCAATGCCGAATCCCTGACTTGGGTGTCTTCCAAATCCAATCTTTCCAAATTCTTGAGATCTTGCAGAGCTACCAGGGAGGGAGTTGTTTTCAGAACTCCATTAATGTGCTGCTGAAGAAAACCTAGCATTCCAAAACAAAGACAAATAATCAGATAAATACAGAAGAATATTGGTTAAGCACGAATGATAGTATAAAACCTTTGATGTTTGTGTTGCTCAGATCGATTCCCCTCAAAGCAGGCATCAGTTTGATATATGAAAAGACATCATCATCAACGGCTGTGTGGGACAAGGAGATTGCTTCAAGATTAGGGACATTTCCAGCAAGAGCAGCCACCCAATTAGAGGTAATTTTTGTGTTACGTAGCTTCAAAACTCTCAAATTCTCTCCAATACATATAAGTGAATCTATTGAACTATCTCCCATTTTGGTTGAACTTATATCCAAATATTCCAGTGCTTTCATAGAAGACAAAAAGTGGAATTCATCCATAATGGAGCCAGATATATCCAAGTATGATAAGTTGGCTGTTTCCAGACAAGAGAAGGCCCTGTGCACATCCTTAAATATGGCTCCTGAGACAAGAAGCTTATACAATAGCGGTCTCGTTTCGTTCTCTCCATGAAAGATAGAGGATATGGCACATTGACTCATGTTTAAAGTTTTTAAAGAGGGAAAATTTGGCAACTCAGTGACATTGGTCCAGGCTAAATTCAGGAAATTCAACTTTGATAGCCTTGTTAGAAATGCAGCTCCTTGATCTGAAATATCACTTCCCCATAACTCGAGGTACTCCAAATCTGTCAATGTCTAAATTGCGCCCAAGAGGGGTTGTTAGACACGACAATGAAAAGGCAACACCAACGAAATTAGTAAGTTTAGTTCCCCTGAAAGTCCATGCATTGTACAGAAATAGATCATTTGACGAAATACACGCATAGTGAAACTGTTAGAATTCAAGCTTAACAAATACTTCATTAAAACATTAATAAGATAAAATCCAAAAAAAACTTCAGAAACAGGAGAGAATCACGCGAAAGGATACTCACAAATCCGGCAGAAGAAAACTTCCAAATGATGTGAAAGAATCACATTAAACAACTCAACAAACATTTTTTAAACTTTTTGTTCTTTTCTTGATACGCATTAGGCTATAGAAAGAAAAAGTGCCTTTGACAAGATCTTATAACTACAAAAGAGTTGTTCATTTTGTTGCTAAAAATGTTAATTTGAGAATATAAAAGGTAGAAAGACATGAACAAAAGCACACACCATAGAATGAGAACAAAAAAAAAAAATTTGGAGAAAGTACAAACAAAAAATTTACCGCCAACGAGCTTAGTGCTGAATCAGTGACACGTATGCCTCCTAAATCCAAGTAAGTGAGGTTTCGAAGAGAAGAAAGAAGATGGACTCCATTGGAGCTCACTGCAGTTTCAGGAAGACATAATTTCTGCAAATTTTGGATGGACAAAAGATGTGCAATCCCTTTATCAGTAATTCTTGAGCACCTGGACAAGTCAACTTCTTGTAAACTGCTCAATCCTGTCACCAAAGAACAAACCATTTCATAAGCACTGAGTGAGCATTCACAAGAATGACATGGAATCACAATACTTCACTGAAATGATTACTAACCACTGATATTCCAGAGAGCAAAATCAGTAACTCTCTTGCAATCTGCAAGATTCAAACTCCTAAGATAACGATATGCCCCCAAATAAGCCATCCATTCTGCATCTACAGAACTCTCACCCATCAAATCAACCTCCTCTATACATGTCTTGAAGACCCTGAAAACTCACATCTCACAGACCATAAAATAAGAAGGATCAGAGCGCTGGATGGATGGGTCTATCATTTTACAACACAGAGTACACCAAAAAAATAAAATTTAAAGTAATCAAAATGCAATCAAAGAAAAGGAGGACTTGTAATCCATTCCAAAAGAAAAAAAGAAGGCATTAACCTGAGTCAGCATCTATGCAATGTTGTAAACCCTAAGAATATACACTAGAAGATCATACACAAAAAAGATAATAAGAGAAACATATAGGGCCAGAAACATTATATAAACTCAAGAATATAAAGATTCCACAAAGATATCAACTCAATAATCTCGATGAAGGCAAAAAAGCCATCATATAATCTTAAATCCTATTTACCAACTTGACAACAAAGGAATCCGTACCTCGTGCGGATATATCCTGCAATCAGTCTATAGCTAAGGCAGCTTAAGAAAGGTCCATCCATTCATAAGCAAATGATGTAAATTGGACTACTAAACATAAAACCATCATGTCATAAAAATTTGAATCATAAAACCATCTTGTCATAAAAATTCAAACATGAAGCTGCCTCCCAAGCAAGTAACAATTTACCATCACAGAATGATCTCCCTTATAGATACAGTTATATTCTTTGCAGAATGCCAATATTTATCATTTTTTTATTTTCTGATAGGTTAGTGCAGTAACCAGTCAACCATCCGTTTATTACATACTAATTTCCTTGCTGCAAATAGGCTGAATTTATGCAACCAGTTGTTAAAGTATACATCTCATATTGTACTTGCATGGGATATTCTAGTCATCTATCCTAAATTCCTAATCATTATTTTAATATATAAGAGTAACATGCACAATTATGTTTTTGGGTAGGTCAGCATGGGTTCGAACCAGGAATGTTGTGTTTGCAATAGTCAACATTGTAACCAATCTAAGCAGTGCCTGAAACCCAAATAAAAGGGTTTTCGTTCTTAAAATGGAAATTCAGAGTTTATGTACACTAATTCAAAGCAAGATCCATCATCTCTTTCTTCTTTTTTCCTTTTTTCATTTAAAAAAAAAAGGAGACCGCCCTAGGCGAACAGGGCCCTAGGTTGCATGCCTAGGCTTGAGCGGTCCTCCCTAGGCGCCAGTACCTAGGTGCCCGCCCAGGCAACCTAGGCGAGCACCCAGCGCCCAGGACCAGGGCTTTTTTTTGTGGAAATAAAGAAGCCCGTATGGCCAGTTTGGGTCATGTTGACCCACAAGATAGACTAAAAAGGGTGTTTGGGGTATTCTAAAACGCCAAAGTGAAAAAAATCAAATCTAAACCCTACAAACACCCCAAATCGATTGAATTTGCAAATTTTTATTTGAATCAAATGAAATCTGGGGTTTGAAGAAGCATCCAAAAGCTTAACCTTTATTGTTGGAATTATTTTTAGGGTGCTAATGAAAGTATTAGAAGGCTTCTATTGTCTTTTCTTTTGTTTTTCATCTTGTATTTGTTTTTCATCTTGTACTTTGTATTGCATCATTTTGTAATGAAGGTTTGGACTTAAAGGTTTTATACTTCTATTGGAGACTTGAAGTCCAAGTGACTATGGCTATGTGTGTGTAACTGTGTATCATGATTGTATGTCACTATGGAGTGTGGATTGGTGAGTTGGAGGCTAATACACTATGGACTTGTTTATGTTTTTTCACTAAATTTTCTATGATTTAAGTTTTGGACGTGTTTCAACATTCATGAGTAGATATTTGCATGAAAAAATATAAAAAATCAACACAATATATATATATATATATATCAATGTTGTTAAAGCGCTTTGCTTCAGGCAAAGCACCAGAAGTCTTCGAGTTTTCCCTCGCCACCGAAGCAAACGAATAGCGAAGACTAAGTTACTTTTACTATTAAACACTTTCAAAAAGTAAGTATAAGTGGAACGACAGATCACTTTTTGATGAGAACATGCCACATTTAAAGAGCACCTTTGACTTTTTATGGAGAGCAAGGCACGTTTAGAGCAATGTTGTTAGATTCGCTTCAAAGTCTGCTTCGGTTTGGTCTGAAAAAATGAAGCAATTTGGTGCTTCGGCAAATTCAGGGGACGACTTTGGTTATCTTTTTTCTAAATAAATAATATTTTTCTACTTTTATAAAAAATTAAAATATAAACAAAAAATTAATAATAAAGAAATTTATTACTGCTGACTTAATAATAAATAAAATGGCTAAAATATATCATTTTAAAACTATTGATTTTAAATTTAATTTTTATTGCCCTTGGAGTTGGAGCATCATAATGAAATGTACTTCAATAATTGTTTGTATTATTTTAGATTTTAAAAATATTAAGACTTATTCACTTTTGACTTTTTCGCTCTGAAAGTAGGCAAGTTGGTCTTTGTACTTCTCTCCAAACGTGGCATGTTCTCCAAAGAAAGTCAAAAAGCTCTCTAAACGTGACATGTTCTCGTCAACAAGCGGTCTTTCCTTCCACTTGTACTTACTTTTTGAAAGTATTTAATAGTAAAAATAACACTTAGTCTTCACTATTTGTTTCGCTTCGGGTGACGAGGAAAAACCCAAAGACTTCAGATGCTTCGCCCGAAGAAAAGCGAATTTAACAACATTGGTTCAGAGAGAAGTACAAAGACCACCTTGCCTACTTTCACAGTCAAAAGTGAAAAAGTCTTCGTATTTTTAAAATTTAAAATCATACAAAGAATTATTAAAGTGCATTTCATGATGATGCTCTAACTCTAAGGGCATTAAAAATTTAAATTTAAAATCGGTCGTATTAAAATAATATATTTTAGCCATTTTATTTATTATTAAGTCAGTAGTAATAAATTTATTTATTATTAATTTTTGTTTTTCATTTTCAATTTTTATAAAATGTATTTTTATTTATTTTAAAATATAAAAAGAACTGAAGTCCTCCCCCAAATCTTCCGAAGCACCAAATTGCTTCATTTTTCATATCAAACCAAAGCAAATTCTGAAACGAATATGTCAATATTGATATACATGCATTTGGACAACACATATATGCATTTTGTAAAAACTTTTCACCTCATGCGCCTAAGGTTCTAGGCACCCACCCCGGTGCTGGGTGCCACACCGGCCACCTAGGGGCCGATTAGCATTTTCTGAAACATTGTTTTTTTATTATTATCATTTTGAAGGACATTGCAAGATCCATCATCAACAAGCCTCTCCCACAAAGGCAACAGCCTAGTTAAGATCATCAGACAAATAGGATGTATAGGTTCACAGGGGAGCAATTGAACCCAAATTGTCATTCTAATACAAACTACATGTGTTTATTTTTAGATAGTTATACAAAGAATTTTTTAGATAGTTATAAAAAGAATCGATATCCAAGCCCCTGAGCTAATACAAAGATCATATTATTACACAACACAAATCTACCAATGAAATCCCCTGTTGATGTCCAGACACTTTGAGCACCACAGTTATTAGGCAGCCTATAAGGTCATTAATAATTGACTCACTAATCTAATGAAACAAAATTAAAACCCAAACAAAAACATTTTTCATTATTGAAAAGAAACCCTCCCAATATATGAAAAAGAAACTCACTCCAGCAATGAAGGTGTAATGAGGTGTCGTTGAATTAGGAGACGGAGAAGGCCTCCTGCAAGTTGCGAAGGCATGCTTTCAAGGGTTCTTCGCTGCCTCCTCCATATTTCAATAGCCTGTGGGTTCTTGCAAGCAGCGTCGACACACATAACAGTGAGAAGGCCTTCCCCTTCATTATATGCCATTATTGACTCTAGATCTCTGAAAGGAAGCATAAGAATTATAGGTTAATGAATGTTCCCCTAACAGTTTTTCTATGTCATCCTTTAACAATATTTCCAAGAAACCAGATAATGAATATGGAATTTCAAAGGTTTAAAGAAACCTCCATATAGTGAATATGAAACTTCAAAGGTTTAAAAAAATCTCCACATACATTTCCACAAGTGATTAATGGAAAATGTGATAAGAAAACTAAGACTTCAATTGGCTTCTTGTGAAAATGTCCAACACAGCTGACACTGACACCTCATGACACATTTTCAGATTGGATACAGCATCAGTTGTTAATATCACGACAAAATTGTATGACCACTACTTACTATACATCATGGTATCTTGTTGTAACTGCTTACACTTGAATGAAGTGTTAGAAAAAAGATAAAATTTTTATTTTACATCATCAATATATATATATATATATATTGGTAACATAGCCACAAATACCATATATACACATCTTAAATAGGTTAAAGAGGAACATGCTTTTGTTTCTTTCATTTCTATTATTAGAGTGACAACACCCATGGAAGCTAGTTAATACTGTAGAGATTCCCACAAATATGGATTTCCTCATATTTGAAACTAGAGAAGCCAATGATACCCATTAACTTCTAATCTCACTTTTGACTTCACTTCTTTCTCTTCATGTCTCTTTTGTCTTATTACCTTCACTTTTGTTTGAATTTTATGGGGTTACGTCCCTTGATTCCTCCAAGCAATTTCATATGATCATCCTCTATTGTTATCTATCCCCACAAAAAGCATGTTTGAACAAGAGAGACGAGTCACTTTACCCATGATGGTTTCAGTAATCTCCTTAACTCGTTCTTACTAATAGTTTCGGATTTAAAAAACAAGTGTGAAGCGTTTTCCCACTGGGCATACATTAGAAGATTTCATATCAGTTGTAGCTTAAACTACTTATAAAAAAACTGCAGATCAGTGTTATTTGTTTCTCCAAAAGCTGAACAAATAACAAAAGAAATATGGTCGTTTGTCTGTTTCAGTAGGCCATGTACAAAGCTTGAACAAATAAACCTTGTATGTCCACTTAGTCCCCTAGAAAATCACAGAAATATGAGGAAGATAGCCAGTAAACTCATTTCTTGTATCTGACAGTGGATATCTGGTAAATTGCAATAAAGAGACAATCTAGTCATCAAAATTCTCGGGATACAACAAAAAATCAATGCATTGTCTACTTTACAGATTATAGCAAAGAAAATGAGTTGAAATCAGTAGAGAACTCAGATTTCCAGTGTAAACTAAAGCTTACAGATCCATAAGTCTAACATAGCTTCCACTGCCAATTTGAAACATAATTTGCAAGATATAAAATGCGAGCCCTCTGCGTAAATCAGTGATAAAAACGTAAAATTTGAATTTCAATATGCAACTCATGATATGTAAAAAGATGATTTCATCAGAAATTGAGATTGCAAGGGCTGTTTAAAACACACACATACATTACATACCTCTTAATCAAGGCCTTCCTACCCATGGACATGTAAATTTTCTTGCTCATTTTGACAGATAAAAACGCAAACTGATTTCGCCTGGCCTCCCTTCTCAGCTTCCCCAAACAAACCAAACTGCGCTGATCTATCAGAAACAAAAGTTACAGAGATATCTGAGATATCAGGGAATGAATCCAAAAGCTTTTTATGTATTCATATTTTCTCCAAGACTAAGTGAATGAAATGGAGGGAACAGATATATAATATATAAGCAAGAGTGGAGAGCTTAAGAACTCTCACGTGAAAATTAGGGTTTCAACTTTCAAGAGATGAAAATCGCCTGAGGCGGAATTCACTTCGCTTGAGAAATGGAACGTGGCCCTAGAGAGAGGGACAGGGGGCTGGAGCGCCTTAGGTAACGTGCCGCCTACGCATGGGACTCGTTTAATTCAAGAGAGAGAAAGGCCATTGTTTATCTCTCTAAAGCGTCAACTCCAAAACAAGAGAGAGAGAGTACAAGAGAGAACTCTGTTTTTCTCTCATTGTCCTCTTAAAGGTTGCAACTTTAAAATGATGAAAATCCATCTGAAATGGTTGTTTTAATGTGAAAAACCTTTGATTTATCTCAACACATGTACGAATATGAACATAAGAAATAAAAAAAAAAGCTAAGTTTAAAAAATAGTACATCTTACACACATTATTTAAACCATTCACTTTTAAATTTTTGATATGTTTATAGATCAACTCCATTTTAACGTTCTTGAAATTTAAAATTTTATAATTATAGATAAAATTAGATTTTTTGATAATTCAAAAAAATTTTAATATCAAAATTATATGTTATGATAAAATTTGGAAGTGCCTCATGGTTGGGCTCTTTAAGGTTGCAGCCTTATACAAACTACACCCTTTTGGGAATTCAAAATCTTTGTTTAGCAGCGCTACATCTCTATATGTACCTTATTTTTAGGTGTATTTTAATTATAGAGTTTAAGGTTGAAACCATATAAAAAAAATGTATTCTTTTTTTCAACAGTTAAATGCTTTTATTTCCTTTTTTTTTCTTATTCGAGTGATAACTATATTGCCCCCATTGCGGGCCGGATACATTATCAAGATTTTTCTTATAAGTATTATAAGTATGCCGAATACATTGAGGCATGACATAAAGTATTTTCATAACAAAATCCAAACAACTCTCATAGTTGGTATATCCAATTCAGGATGCCCATTTTTGAAAGATTTCCCGGTTGGTTTAAAAATTGGTTTTTGATATGGGGTTTTACAAGTGACATTTTACCTCCTGCTTTTAAGAAAGCACATGAGTAAGTTGCAATATTCAATAAGATTGATAATGATACGGATCCACACTTATAATTTGTCACCTTATATCAACTCCCATGAATCATGAAATGAGAATAATCTGTCTTCTAATAATACAGCTGACTATACCTATATCCCGTGTTTGGGCAAAACTATCTCTGTAAAATGGTGGGACATTTTCAATATGGATCCCACTATAATTGTACCCAAAAGAATATCACTACAAAAACTCATTTATAATCCCAATCCTTCTGGATATAATACTGCCAATACTTTATTCGATTTCCCTACATATCTCCGAAATATGCTCCAAAATAACCCAGAAGAAGAAGAAGAAGAAGACCCCAATAAATTCAGCTAAGTACCATAAAGTTGCTTCACCATATTGTATCACCTCAAAATACTGTAGCAAGATTCCCTCCGTACAAGACACAGTAGCTGCCGACGCATACGACAAACCAGACACTGTAGCTGCCGACGCATACGACAAAACCAGGCACTGTGTGGCCGACAGAACACTGTGCTGCCGACAGAAGATGACAAAAAGATACTGTTTTAGATGCTTCTTTAAGCATCTTTCTTTTGCTTTTACTTTTCTCTTTTTCCTTTACGTCTCTTCTTTCTTGTTTGGTCAAATCAAGTCGCTTTCCTTCTCTTCCTTCCTCGCTAAGTTACCTTAGCCTTCGCCTATATAAGGAAGCACCTTTCTTTAATTGACATAGGTCTTAGAGCTTTCTTCTTCCTTTGCTCTCTCTGCTCTCTCTCTTTCCATCCCTCTGCTCTCTCACAGTCTTCTGCTCATCTCTCTAATATCCGGCTACTCTCTTTGCCATACTGCTCCACTGCTGTTGTCCTAACCTCACAGCTTGAAACCACCTCATGCTATCCAGGTCTTTTCCTATCTTTCTGATTTACCTCCAGGTTCTCTCTTATCCTCTTCTCTTATAATTTTATTTTGTGCGACTGCAATTTCCACACACTTCCATCATACTGTCCTCAACATTGGAAGTTATTCTCCAGTTATTGTATCTGTAAATTGTAAGTGTTTGTTTTTGTTTATACCGATGGTTTGTACACTGTAATATCTCTTGTGGTTTGTAGTCTGCTTGTAGTCTGTAATAATTTCATCTTTATGTAATGGTTATGTCATGTTGTTGGTATGCAGTTTAAATTCGTCTTTAGTATTAAACTAGGCAATTACACACACACACAATGGGTTGTTATCGATATATCCGTTATTCCTTTTATCTCCTTAATTCTCTTTTGCCTAAATTACTACCGTATTTTACAAGAATTAATAAAGTATAATAGTTTGATCTTTACATACCTTCTATATAGGGTTAAATGTTAAATGTCACTAGATCTTGGCGCGTTTTGGTATCAGAGCCAAAGTGAAAGTTACAGTATTATTGTAGAAACCTAAGTAAATTTCCACCTAAGAAAGTTGGTCCGAGAGTTAAGGCAAGAGACGAAAGAAGTCTAGGCAAAGTACCTGCCAAGGCCAGGAAGAGCCGCTTAGGGGAACACACTGGACCCTTGGTCGTCCAGATTGTCATTATCCGCAACCTACAGATGGCAAATTTAATTAGAAATCTAAAAGGTAAAACAGTAACTCAAACTAGTCAAACTTTAAGAGTAAAAAATAAGGAAGAAATAATAATAAATGATGTTGAAAAATATATACAAAATCGGAATATTCCCATGATACCTATCTCAGATATTTATAATAGGGGAACATTCAATTTAAAATTAGGATATGCAATTAAAACAGTGGTAGAAAGTTTATCAGTAACTCAAAATCAGAAAGACTTCCAACTGTTATCTAGAAAAATTATCGAAAAACATAAAGAAAATAATTATAATATTTATATATTGGATTAATATAAATAGCTATAAAACCTTTAACCCGTTTAGGTTTAAACAACTCAGTGCTTGTATGCCTAAGAGATACAAGACACAATAAGTTTTCGGACTCACTCCTCGACATGGTTGAATCCAGCCTTTGTAGTGGACCCATTTATTTTAACTGTTTTTCAAATTTTTCTGTTTCATTAACAGACCCTAATATCCTAGATGTATTAACAATAAATCTCAAAACCTATGGATTCAGTTTGACTCCTGGATCTCAAAATCTAGCAATTGTATATCGTCTATATTACAAAGTTATGATTACTATTTGCCCTAATATTATGCAAACAGATACAAAAGGACAAACGATATTATTTCAAACCAATATTGAAAAATCCAATACTATTATTCCAAAAACTATTACTTGGTCGGATATTATGCTACCTCAATCATGGTCAATCCAAAATGAAAACCAACCAAAAGCAGTACCAATAAATAGTATTCCTAGTCAAATAATTGAAAATCAAGATGGGAATATTGAAATCAAATTCCAATCCAATACACCATTTGTACAAGATGACTTAGAAATAAATAGAAAAAGAATTAGAAAACCATTAGTTTCTGCAAGAAAATTGTGTCATACAACTCCCGATATCATCATCCTTCCTCCTCCAGCAACACCTACAGGATCCTCCGATCTACAATTATAAGGAATAAAGAGAACAGCCGATCATGTAGTCATACCTACTTATACATCTGAACCTGACATAGCTGACTTCCAAATATTAACCCTACAAGTCGAAAATGATATAGACATAGAAGAATACCAAGAATAGCAATATCAGGTAAAAGCAAAAAAGAAAAAAGTTGATATTGAATTTCTTAAAAATGACTATTTAGCCTTAGAAAACCAAGGTATTAGAGAATGGTATCTTAAAGCGTTTCAACCTAGATTAGTGGAATTATTTCATAAAAATACATTACATTCCTAAAGAAAGAAAAACAAACAAAATGATTTTTCATATGGTTACAAGAAATTTGTACCCAATATAATATCCAAATTCCTCAATTTAATATTCAAACCATAGAAGAAAAAACTTATCTAAGTACAGATGGAACAAGTACTGCAAGTGTTCACCCTCCTGAAAAAAGTATAGTACTAAAAGAAGTAAAAACTCCACCAATGAAAGGGGAGCCACCACAGGCTTTATATGAAATTATTGCAACACCCTATAAGGTTATACTCAAAGAAATGACTAAAAAACAGGAATTAATACCTCATATAGTAGAACGAAATAATTATACAAACCTATATATGCAGTCCTTAGGAAAAGAGGCAGAACGCATAGAAAGGTTCATTACTCCTCAACCTAAACCAATAATCCCTCCTATTCCTAAATTTGTTTTGTTCAAACCTCCTCCAGAACTTAATAAAATTAAATTTCATATTGGCGAAGACAACAAAACATTAATGGATCAACTAATCTCTAAATTAGTCCAATTAGATATTAAAGGAATCCCTTCTCCAAAGATAAGTATTCATGTACCCATACCTAGTATCCCAGAATCATCCGATAAACGTAAACAGAAAATTCCTGAGCATGATACCTTAATGCTCCATGAACCTCTTGAATATGAAACTTTAATGCTTCAAAAGGAAGAACCAACCATAGTAGATAATTTGCATAATAGAGAACTAGCTTTTATGGATACAACAACCAATGATCTCAATAGAAT